TGGGCCCGTCGAATATGGGCAACCCTGTACAGTTCGCACACTAAGTACACATTTCCAAAACCACCTTCAGGTACCTGAACAAATTTACTTGCCATCCTTGATTCTCATACCAAATTTTTTAGCTCTATCCGTTCACGTTCGAATTTTGCAAAAACCTTTTTGCACATCTAACCTACACTCCGCCAGTGACGTATTTTATTAAGGACCGAACATACACGGATTTTTTAAATTATACTTTATCTGACGGATGTGGATTTTTTTAAAGATTATACAGGTAAACCAAACTTTGATTCTCATAGAGTACTTTTAACCGACAGATAGGAAACTAAAAAAAATTAGAGGGTATGGATTTTTAGAAGAATATTTTTCAGAAGACGTGGATTTTTAAAAGAATAGTATTTTTTTTCAAAAGACCAAACGGACGTGGATTTTTTAAAGAATATTTTTTCAAAGGACCAAACAGACGTGGATTTTTTAAAGAATATTTTTTCAAAGGACCAAACAGACGTGGATTTTTTAAAGAATATTTTTTTTAAAGGACCAAACAGACGTGGATTTTTTAAAGAATATTTTTTTAAAGGACCAAACAGACGTGGATTTTTTAAAGAATATTTTTTTTAAAGGACCAAACAGATTTTTTAATGAATATTTTTTTTCAAAGAACCAAATAGACGTGGATTTTTTAAAGAATATTTTTTCAAAGGATCAAAAAGACGTTGATTTTTTAAGGATTTTTTTTTTCAAAGGACCAAATAGACGTGGATTTTTTAAAGAATATTTTTTTCAAAGGACCAAACAGACGTGGATTTTTTAAAGAATATTTTTTTCAAAGGACCAAACAGACGTGGATTTTTTAAAGAATATTTTTTTCAAAGGACCAAACAGACGTGGATTTTTTAAAGAATATTTTTTTCAAAGGACCAAACAGACGTGGATTTTTTAAAGAATATTTTTTTAACGAACAAGCGCGTTTATTTTAAGAAAATAAAGCCAAGATGTGAGCATAATTTTTCAAATAATCTTTTTTCAAGGATTCTCAAACTTGGATTTTTTAAAGAAGTCTGACTTTTTAAGTTAGTTACTGGAAGAGATGAAAAAAACTGAAACCAACTTCAGACTACTATCATTTATAAGTCACTCGGTCGACAGCTGTTAAAATTATTCCAGTGACAGCTTAATATGTTGTTTACAAGCGTACAAAAGAGTTTTGGTGAGAAATTTCCAGAAAAAAAGTTATTCGTGATGGAATTCGAGCAGGATAGTGTGATTTCTTTGTAAGTGGCTGAAAAACCAAGAGCTCCTGCAAATAAATGTGAATAATTTTTTTGTGTCTCGTACCATTGCTCGTTACCGTGATACTGGTAGCGTTACCCGACGTCAAGGAAGTGGGCGGAAAAAACAGCAACATCAACAGAAATGGGTCGAAAAGTAAAGAAGCAACTTGATCGAAACCCGCATCGCAGTGCTCGAAAAATGGCTCGTGATCTGAACATATCGCAGCATTCCATTCGGCAAATATTGAAATATGAGCTCGGGGTAAAGCCATTGAAATTCCAAAAAGTGCAAGAACTTACACAGCACCAGAAAGAAAATAGACTCAAAAGAGCTAAAAAGTTACTTCGCTTGGTAAAAAAAATTAGGTTTGACGGTATTTTGGTCCTAAAAATGTACACCCAGAGAAAAAATGACAACATCCGTGTATGAAATGACCACATCCGTGTATGATAGTGTATCAACCACGTTTGGTGTCAAAATGAGCACGCTGTTGTCATTTTGACACCGAGATTTTGGCAACGATTTCAACAACAGATGTGCATGAAATGAGCACATACGTGGTCATTTCGAGCACGCCCCGTTGTCAGATTGTCAACGCTTCGTTGTCAGATCGTCAACGCTTCGTTGTCAGATTGTCAACGCTCCGTTGTCGGATTGTCAACGCCCGTTGTCAGATTGAAATCAATGGTGGTCATTTTTTGATATCCGTTCCTTTTCCATTTTATACCCTTAGTAGAAGAAACGACATTTTTTGAAAAGTATTTTATTGAACGAAACCAATTACATAAATTCAATATAAATACATATTTGATTTAACAAAACAATTCGAATTACATATATTCAATGTATAGAAACAAATTAAATTAACTTAAATCTGAAATAAACTTTTCCATTATTCATAGGATATAAGTGAAATGGGTAAGTAATAAAATCTAAAATTGGTATTAAAAAAATTGTATCCTCATTCAGAGAACCAACTTCATACGATTGTAAATGGTAATCAAAGTTTTTAACTTTTACTTGGTTACATAAAATGTAAACATTTTCATTTTCAATTATTAAATGTTTAATTTTGAAAAGTTCAATTGCGGCATTATTTGTTGCTAAATAATAGTTTTTTTTATACCTAGTTCCCTTAAAAAAAATGTCATCAGACACTTTGCAATTTTGGTAATTTAAAACTGGCTTACTTTTTTTGTAACAATATTCCTCTTTTGCCAAATCTTCGATGGTATGCGTATTAATGATAACATTTGGTTCTAAGTTATCTTCGTGTTTTAATAAAAAATTGGAAAATTTCAATCCAGACTTAATAGATAATGAACGACAGGGATTTACTCTTGATGTAGTATTTCCTAAATAGGCTTTTGCTTCCTTGTGTTTAGCTTCGAATCTCATGCTCCAGAGATATTTAAGGGGACCACATTTTCGGATAGCTGTGGGATAGTGGACAAGAAAGTGGTGTTTCGGTTTTAACGAACCGTATAATGTTATATAAAGTGAATGGTGATCTCTAATTAATTCTTCCAATTTTATTAAATCGTCTTCTATATAACTTGGTCTTAAAAGTAAATCGATTATTTGTAATAATATTATAAAAACTTTCCAGTGATCGTTGGAGAAAGGAATTAAATCGCCTACCATTAAAGGTAAAAAATTAGTAAAACACATAGTTTCACTAGCTGTCATTTTTAAGTTATAGTTTTTCAATCTACATAAATCTAGTGGTCCAGATTTATTTCCCACTTCAATTTCTCCAAATTGGAATAAAGATTTTCTGCTGTTAATACAATCTAACGTAACAATATTTTCTTGAATCAGCCCGAGAATTACATTAGACATATCGTAGACACATATGCCCTCGAAAATGTCATGCATAATATCAAAACAAAAATTTTCAGTGACGTTAAAATTTGGTAAAGATTCGAAGATACACTTGTTTTTAATACCTGTTTCTTGAAAATTATTTTCCAATACATTTGAGTTGTAATTCTCTTGGTTTCTTAAACTATCTAAATGCTGAATTGCGTCGAATTGCATTTGGGACTTTTTTCTTCTACATACCCGGCAAAATCTTTTAGAGTTAAATGATTGCACGTAGCCTAAAATACTATTAACTGCTAAATTATCTCCAATAATTACACCTAAAATAAAATGCACCTTCTGAACACTTTGTTGAACACAAATTTCAACCCCTTCTTCTAGAATTTTTAACTCTTCTACAAGATTGTGAAATGAAACTTCATTTCCACGTTCTTTTAAATCCTTTGATGGTATAAACGCAGCAGTTAATATATAATCAAGTTTTGACAACAAGTGCTGTGGCATTGAAGGAAAGCTAATATAACAACCACATATGGAAAATGTATGGGTTCCAAGAGGATTATTAATTTGAAAATCATCCATGTAAAGGACATAGGGAATAACTAAATTGTACTGATATTTTAATAATTTAGTTTTATATAACTCACCGTTTGTAAAATTTTGTAAAACAGGTGAATTTAGGAATTTTTTGGAGTTTTCTAATGTCAAATCTAAGAGATTTGGAATTTTAAAAAGGGCACTTATCATGAATTTCAGTGGCATTATATAAATATTGGATAACTTTGGACCTAAACTGGGATTTCCGCTGATAACAATTTCCGAGACTTGATTGCTAATTACATAAACCTTTGGATCATCATAAAAGTTTAGTTCTTTTAAAATTTTTAAAAGTCTATATTCCGTTCTAGTTTCTTCGAAAGGATTTTTACAAAAGTTTAGTAAGTACCTTAAGTCTTCATAATTTGGATGATCAGTTATATATTTTTCAATTGTACATGAAATGGATGAAAGCAGAATTGAAACAGAATGTTGTATTTCTATAACATGATTTCTAGGCATATAGCTTTGACCATGTAATTGTAAAGACAGATATAAGGTTTTCTTTTTCAAAACATTTAAATCCTTTTCTATTGTATTGTTGTTAATAACAGTTTCACTGTTTGTATAATCATTTTCTTTTGATGATGACATTTCAACTGGCACATTAATGGCTTTAACCATTGGTGGAGCTTTTGTGTGATTCTTGTGAAGTTTTTCTAAATGAATTCTGAATGACGTAAATTTTGTAAATGTTTGCTTACAGTTGTCCTGAACGCATTGTACTTTTAAAAATTTAGTGGACATTAAATGGTCTGTTTTCAAATGAGCTATTAAAAGATTTGCCTTATCAAAATGCTTACGGCAACGAAAGCAAATATACATTTTGAATTGTACTTTAATTATTGTTGCAGAAATTAATAAGTGAAGTCAAATTAACTGATTTTATATCATATACAGTATTAATTTCATAAAAATATTTTTGGATAAAAATCCATGGAATTTGGCAGGCATTTGGATATTTTAAAGAAAGTGCATGAAAAATTTTAAAACATGTATCTAAACATTCGAGGAACGATTGAAATTTTAACAAATTGTGGTTAAAAAAAACATAAAAACCTTTTATATTGAAATCGGACAAACCCTCCACAATTATAAATGGCTGTATAGTTAATCCAGCATTGTAATACTTTTCAGTGACTGTATCAATTTGCCTTTTATAATCGTTAATTGTCGGTAGTCGCAGTACGAAACTTTCCTGCGAATCAGCTATTGTTACTTTTTTTCGTAATTTACCGTTTCCACATTTAAACCTAGCAGGTGATGGTAAAACTGAATTCAACAGTATTGCGTATATATAATCTTGAGCATCTGCAACCGAAATATAAAATAAATATTACTTTTAATGTTTATGATAAATCAGGAATTAAAATTTACCTATGCTGCTTGCCGTCAAAACATTTGCGAAGAGTTGTTTGCAATGTTCGTTATGAATATTTTTCCCATAATAATTGTAAATTTTTTTCTTAAATTGGTCCCATTTAGAAAGTAGAAGATTGCCTTTCTGTGGATACATAATATCGAAATCAATGTTGACCTAAAACGAAACATTAGTATCCATATACAAATAAATAGCTCATGGCTACTTACCAATTCTGAAGCTCTTGCATCGGACAACTTCGTCCATTCAAGGAGAAATGTATGGCTACTTAAATTTTTTATATCTCTTTGCCGTATGTTAAAAGATCTTTTCCATTTTTCGCAGATCGATCCCCAATCATTACATTCTCTTAGTAAGGAAGCTTTCAATGAATTTTCAACTGATTCATCAATTTCGGGAACATCTTTGTTACAAAAATTAGGAGATGTGTGAGTTGCTGCTTTGCTTGTGCTAGGCTCGGAAATCAAAAGCTTTATTCTTTTGGACTTCTTGTTTCTATACTTGGCATAAAGTTTTCCGCTTGCGTTGTTCTTTCCTTTTCTTGAAATGTAATAATAATCCTAAAAATAAAGACATATTATAAGTTAAGAAACTACATAATCAGATACGTTGTTTATATTGTTAATCTTACCCTCATTTCGTTTTCAAGAGGAAAAACGGAACAAATTTCATCCAATATGCGCATATAGTCTTGAGTGTAAAGAGTAACATTGTTGGTTAAAATATCTTCAATAATTATATTAATTATATCATCTCTTTGCTCGTCACTTAATTTCTTATTAACGCTACTACATTCAAGCGCTAGTTTCCCCTTCGAGGTATGTGTTAACAATTCCGTTAGATCCTATATTAAATAAAAAAACTACATTAACTATGCTTACACAAATATTACTCTTACCTTACCTCTGACAAAATTCCTTTGGCTTTTGAGCAGTTCGAACCTGTAGTGTCGGGAGTACCAGGAGTACTTGCAGGTGTCTCGTTGCGTTTCCACCATTCACCTATTTTAGATGGAACTGACATAGTTTCGTCATCAATCCCGAGCTATTGTTATGACAATATTAATACTGAGTTCAACTCTGTAAAACAAATAATACGTACCTTTCGTTTTTTCCAAGCAAAGAGCTTTTCTCTGAATTCAACACGCAGTCCCAATGGTGGCACTGCTTCCTTTAAATCTTCTTTTTTCAAGTACTGCAAGCTGCGAAATGTTACATGTGATGCTAAAAGAACAAAAAAGAAAATTCTTTGTTAATTACACTGATTAACTGAAAAATTCATTTTTATTTACTTACCTTTTAATTGTTCAAAAAGCGACTCCATATTTATTCCTTTTAAGAACTCCCTTAACATATAATCGTCCTCATTGTTTTCCGCATCTTGACTGCTGCAATGGTTTGTATCGCGAACCACAACAATATTGCCATCGATTTCTAACAACTCACCAATGATATTTTGAGGATCTTGCGAATTATTATTCATTTTCAATAAATTTTTTGCACAATGCGTCCTTTCTCTTTCAATAACACGGAAAAAATGGTAAATATGCAGCCGATTGCACACGAGTAAAAAAAATGACAACGGTGGTGCATGATTCATACACGGTAGTTGCTAAAATGGCAACGATCGTGTACGATTCATGCACGTCGGTGTACAAAGTAACAACGGTGGTGCATCATTATGCAGGTGGTGGTGCATAATTCATACACGACCGGTGTCATATTGACAACGACCGTGTGTGAATCATGCACCACCGTTGTCATTTTTTACTCGTGTGTAATCGGCTGCAATTACCAATATTACAAATGGACAAATTAAGCACGGCTGTTGTTGGTACCGAAAGTTGACCACGTCTCGGTGTCAATTTGAGCACGTTCGTGCACAATTCACCAACAGCCGTTGTTGAAAAATATAACAACGGGTCGTTGCGAAAATGACAACATACGTGCTTGATTTCGCAACGGGATTTTTCCCTCAGTGTATATAATGGATAATCCATGTTTTGGTCTGTAAGAAAATACTTTAAAAAAAAATCAAGTTTTATGGTGTACTGGATTTAAAATGTTTTTTTTTTTTTTAATGGCGTTTTCCGCTGACAAAGTCCTTAATTTTTTTTTTTTTAAATTATTATCTTTTCTGCTGAAAAAGTCCTTCAAAAATATATGTAAAAAATTAAAAAAAAAAATCCTCAAATATAAATCTAAAATAACTCAGCTTTTTTGCTTTGCCAACATAAATTATCCCTAAATCCCAAGAAACAATAATTTTTGGGTCATTTTATTTTACTTTATACAAAAGTGAAACAAGACAAAACGAAATGCAAGCACTTGCAAAAATCCATCTCCCATCCCCAAAAATAGCTAAAATAAATGAATACAACAGAAGCAAAAGGAAAAAGAAAACAAAGAAACAAATAAAAAGGAAACCATTATTTCAAGATGTGCCATTATAAAAATCAAATCAATCACATTACCCCTCCCCAAAATACACAGGCAGTACTACTACTGGTACCACACATACACACACACACACACGCACACATACCACATGGCCAAAAAGGATAATAACTCTAAAATGTAATGCTTGCGTTATTATTTAAAATACTGCAGGATATAAATCATGGCAAACCTATTTCTATAGTTTTATGCATTTTTGACTTTATTCTCTGCTCTCCACGGCTCTCTCCCATAGTATCCTTCTACTTTTGCCTTTGGCTCCATTCTCCATTTTCTTAGGGTTGCCCCCCAATGTTTTTGGGTGCATTCCCATTTGCGGAAAATATATTTGAAATGTTGCAAAACTGCAATATCGCAGGGACCAACCCAGCTTCATTGATGTCGGAGACGAGTGGTGGTGAGAAGGGGATGAAAAAGTGAGCTAAACACAGGATACCGGCAAAATGGCACAGAGACGAAGTGACGAAACAAATATATTGTACCGGAAACAATGACAGTCAAACCGATTGCTGGCTGCGGTGCCTGTGAAATGGTAAAAATGTTGTACACAGATACATACAGTTATGCCATCATAAAATCGACCACACACAGACACAAGTCAAACATATGTGCAATAAAACGGCTGAGTTGGGTGCAATAACAAACCGAAGCAACCAATAGACAACCCAACACACACACACAAACGCAGATATATGGATACGGACACATTTGCCGACATAATGTTTCCGGTATTGGCAAAACTGTTGATGATAGAGGGAACAAAAATAACAAACGCAATATTATATTAGTTTTATATTTTCTTTGTTGCTACTAAAAATAAAAATTATCCACATAAGCTGGATCATTGAATATTTTTTTATCCAAGTCTGTTGGATCCTTGAATAAAAATTATTTTAAAAACGACGTCGGTTGGATCCTTAAATAAAAATTATTTTAAAAACGACGTCGGTTGGATCCTTGAATAAAAAATTATTTTAAAAACGACGTCGGTTGGATTCTTGAATAAAAAATTATTTTAAAAATCCACGGCTGTTGGATCCTTAAATAAAAATTATTTTAAAAACGACGTTGGCTGGATCCTTGAATAAAAAATTATTTTAAAAACAACGTCGGTTGGATCCTTGAATAAAAATTATTTTTAAAATCGACGTCTGTTGAATTATTGAATAAAAAAATATTTTAAAAATCCACGTCTGGTAGATCCTTGAATAAAGATTATTTTTAAGATCCTTGAATAAAAAGTATTTTTAAAATCGACGTCTGTTGGATCCTTGAATAAAAAATTATTTTAAAAATCCACGTCTGTTGGATCCTTCAATAATTTTTTTTAGATTCCGTTGGATCCTTGATTTATTTTAATTCACGAATGTTGGATCGTTGAAAAAAAAATCATTCTTATAAAAATCCTTGTTTTTTTTTTTTAAATCTACGTCTTTTCAAACCTTGATTTCATTTAAATCCACGTTTTTTTGATCCTTGATTTTTTTAATCCACGTTTTTTTGGACCCTTAATATTTTTTAAATCCACATCCGTTGGATCCTTAATTTTTTTAAATTCACGTCTGTTGGATCCTTGATTTCTTTTAAAGGTCCACGTCAGCTGGATCCTTGAAAAATATTATTTTAAAAATCCATCCTTGATTTTTTGGGTCAATTTTTAAAAAACCTTCGTCTTTCTCTTCCTTGAAAAAAATTATTTTAAAAATCCACGTCTGTTTACTCTTGAAAAAATATTCTTTTAAAAAACAACGTCTGTTTACTCTTGAAAAAATATTCTTTTAAAAAACCACGTCTGTTTACTCTTAAAAAAATATTCTTTTAAAAAAACACGTCTGTTTACTCTTGAAAAAATATTCTTTTAAAAAACCACGTCTGTTTACTCTTGAAAAAATATTCTTTTAAAAAATCCACGTCTGTTTACTCTTGAAAAAATATTCTTTAAAAAAATCCACGTCTTTTTACTCTTGAAAAAATATTCTTTTAAAAAACCACGTCTGTTTACTCTTGAAAAAATATTCTTTTAAAAATCCACGTCAGTTCACTATTGAAAAAATATTCTTTAAAAAAATCCACGTCAGTTTACTATTGAAAAAATATTCTTTAAAAAAATCCATGTCTTTTGGTCCTTTGAAAAAATATTCTTTAAAAAAACAATGTCTTTTGGGTCCTTTGAAAAAATATTCTTTAAAAAAACAATGTCTTTTGGGTCCTTTGAAAAAATATTTTTAAAAATTTCACGTCTATTTGGTCCCTTGAAAAAATAATTTTTAAAAAATCCACGTCGATTTGGTCCTTTGAAGAAATATTCTTTAAAAAATTCACGTCTCTTTGGTACTTTGAAAAAAGATTTTTTAAAAAAATCCACGTCGGTTAAGTCCTTGAAACAATATTCTTTAAAAAAATGCTCATCTTTTTGGTCCTTTGAAAAAATATTCTTTAAAAAATCCACGTCTTTTTGGTCCTTTGAAAAAAATATTCTTTAAAAAATCCACGTCTGATTGGTCCTTTGAAAAAATATTCTTTAAAAAATCCACGTCTATTTCTTCCTTTTAAAAATATATTTTTAAACAAATCCACGTCTATTCCTTTGAAAAAATATTTTTAAAAAAATCCACGTCTATTCAGTGCTTTGAAAAAAATATTTTTTAAAAAATCCACGTCTATTTGGTCCTTTGAAAAAATATTTTTTAATAATCCACGCATTTTTCTTCTTTGAAAATATAATTTTTAAGAAAATCCACATCTGTTTACTTCTTGAAAAAATATTCTTAAAAAAATCCACGTCTATTTGGTCCTTTAAAAAAATATTCTTTAAAAAATCCACACATTTTTCTTCTTTGAAAAAATATTCTTTTAAAAAATCCCCATCTGTTTAGTTCTTGAAAAATAAATCTTTACAAAAAATCCACGTCTATTTGGTTCTTTAAAAAAATAATCTTTAAAAAAATCCACGTCTGTTTGTTCCTCAAAAAAATTTCCTTTTTTTATCCTTGAGAAAATATTCTCTGAAAACGTTTCCACATTTTGTGGTCTATTGATCCTTTTAAGCAAAAATATTTCCACCGCGCTGAGCGACAAATGCTTCTGACAACGGTTTATTAAAATAATGTCATTTTGTCACTTCTTCATTAAATTGCCAAAATCCAGAGGCTGGAGGTAAACCTTTATTTGACAACTTACCTCAAGTTTCTTTTGTCTTCCAGAAAAGAGAGAAAAAGAAAAACGAGAAAATAATAATTTCATTATTAAATGATTGTCATTAATCGGAAAAGGACATATGGGGATAGGTATACAATTGAAGACAATAATCGAATGAATGGCCAACTGCACTCATTATCTCACGTACATGAGCCATTGATTATACGCCTCAGGACATGTCGCAATGAACACGCCACACAAAAGAAAATATCCTTAACGCACAATGACATGTGTGTTCTTTTTTTGGTTCTTTTTGTCAGGACTTTTCTTTTTCACTTCCTGGAAGTAAACATCAACAATTTTTATGTTTCTGTCCTTCTTTTTATTTTTTTATTTTTTGGTTTATTGACAACAACAAAGGCGACAACATTCTTTCACTTGAAGTCCATTTCATTTTGTAGAGTAAACACACATTTATAATTACCTCAGGAGGAGACGGACCAGCCGAAGAAGAAAAGGCAAATGACAGGAAAAAAGGACTGCAAAAAAAAAAAATGAGGGAAAAAAATCAACAAATTATTCCCTGGGAAAACCGACCACCCACCGATCTCTGTATTTCTCTGAATAATGGAAATATCATTTACCAGTATTGTGGAGCCCAGAAGGTATTAAATGACTTAATACAATGCCTTAAGCACACACACACGGATCCACTATGGTACAGCCACAGAAATTCACATTCGAACCATTTAGCCACAGGACTGAAATGATGGGCCATCTTTATTTTTATTTCAATGTTGAAGGACGTGCCCAAGTGCGTGTGATTGTGTGTGTGTGTGTGCGTACGAGTGGTTAATTTATATGTCAATGTTAATGTAAATGCCAGCATGTAAATTACAATATTTCTGTTTTATTTTCGCAAAAAAACGAAGGACGAATTATTGATATTTTCTTTTGTATTACCACTACTTGAACACCTCGTTGGACAAATAAAGCTCACATACATTGTCATATAAATTTTCATTTTGAAAATGGAAAATCAACATAGTCATATTTAATTTCATTGCATCAAATGAATGATTGATTTATAGAAAAATGTTCAAAATATCAAACAGATGTGGATTTTCGAAGGAGTGTTTTTTTCAAGGACCAAACAGACGTGGCTTTTTGAAGGCGTATTTTATTAAGGACCGAACATACACGGTTTTTATTAATTATATTTTTTCAAACTACTTGGATGTTAAAGGCTATATGTTTCTGAAGGATCTGGATTTTTGTAAAGAACAAACAGGGACACCAAAAGGGGATTTTTATAGAGTACTTTTAAAGGACAAACAGGATACTTAACGTAGATTTTTAAGGATCAAACAAACGGTTTTAACTAATACTTCTTCGAATTGAATTTAAAAAAAAATAGAGGGCAAGGATTTCCAGGAGAATATTCAAAGGACGTGGGTTTTTTAAAGATTATTTTTTTAAAAGGATCAAACAGACGTGGATTTTTTAAAGAATATTTTTTTCAAAGGACCAAACAGACGTGGATTTTTTAAAGAATATTTTTTTCAAAGGACCAAACAGACGTGGATATTTTAAAGATTATTTTTTAAAAGGATGAAACAGACGTGGATTTTTTAAAGAATATTTTTTCAGGAATTATTT